GATAAGGGTTTTGATCCCCGCTCAATTGACATTTAGGAAAGCAAGGAGATCGCTCCCTAGTCGTCAAGAGGCATCGTACGGACCCCCTACTTCAGAGGATCCAAGGCAGAATTACCTTTGGTCTGGGCCCTTTGAACAGTAGTCCTGGTGGCGGATTTCAGAATTCGGGGTTCTGGGGAACCTGTATGTTATATTTGTGGGGATAATTAGGAGGAAGAGATTGTTTGTTACTAATTTAGAATTTGGATATATTTGCTTTCTCAACTGCAGCTCATTTCCAGACGTGGTAGGTGCTGTGGACAATGCCGACCAGGATAAAATTGACTTCATCCGTGTGGCACGCGAGCGGCTCCGGCTTGACACCTCCACAGCGCAGCGGCGACAGGTCGCAGAAGCGAAGCTGCGAGCAGCGATTCGCATGGGCCCCGAGGCACGGGATTTTCAGAGTTGCTAGGAACTGGCGCAAGCTCAAGAAGCAAGTGCGGTTTTTCAGGTTGTACGGACGGCTTCTGCGGACCTCTTCACTGAAACCAAGTGCTGCATTTGTCTTGATGCGAAGCCCACCGTCCCCTCAATGCTTTGTGGCCATGTGGCCTTGTGTGAAGACTGCGCGGGTGTCGTAGAAAGCGGCACCAAGCAATGCCCTATGTGTCGTGAACGTTTTGTGCGCCGAATGTAAAGAAATGCAGCGCCAAACGCCGCTTGCATACAGTGCAGATGCAATCTAGTCATCCTTTCTTTGTTGCTTCACTTTGTCGCACAGCGTGTTTTCCTGATCGAGTGCCCGCATATGTGGCGGACAGCTCCTCGCTCTGTTTTGCCTAGGCGCTTGCAATACGCCGATACGCCTTGTCTCACCAGTACCAGATATTTAGCAAAGCAATTTAGTGGCAGCGCAGCCTCGGTTGACAAAAGCGGTTGGCGGATGTTGCCGGATTCCGGATGTTGGCGTGCACAGGCACTGGCACTGGCGTTTTCTGCAGACGTTTATCTGCCTTGATCTTTCACAGGTGTGCCATGCCTGGCCTCGACATTGTCAAGTCGCGGCACTCCAGAGGACCCAGTTGGGTTGGGGCTTTGTGCTCTGCGGCCCTGCTCCGCCAGATGGTTCCATGATGTTCTATGTGACCCGAGCCCCAGGAGTCGCGGCAACGACAACACGCTGCCTGCTTTAGAAGCAGCCCCGCCAAGGAGGGGCTCGAAAAGCTGCCATGCAGAAGAGCTTCATGCTCCTGGTGTGGAATTTGCATTGGGAATAAGGCTCCAGATGCTGTGATATTCAGACTTGAGACCATCATTGGTGAGTTTTTTTTTTCAATTCTGATTTCATCTCTCAAGGACCTTCCTTCAGGTCACTTTCGACATGACGCAACATGTCCTTCGCCCTGCACCCTTCCTTCTCGAATCCTCGTGTTAGTGGTCTTCCTGAGCAATCGAAGCCTGGAAAAGTTGTGTTTTTTTTGCGCAGTGCTTTGTGAGGCAGCCGCAGGAAGTCCACGGCCACCACTTCAGTGAGACCACGTCACACGGAGCCTTGTCAAATTCGAGAAGTGTGCAGCGTTTTCACGACTGGTGGGTCGAGGGTCGTTGTCAATGAGCCCTGAAGTGAGGATTGATTCTCGGCAATCAGCCAAAGTTAGTTCCCTTGAGCGGTGTCCTCAGCTGCTGCATTGTATCCCATGTGCATGTCGTGAAGCCACTGCGGGGCTTGAGTAGGTTCGCGCGAGATATGTTTGAGGTTGACATGTTGCCTGAGGTCCTCAGGGGCTGAAAACAAGGAAGCGCGAAGCCAAGGCAAGGATTGCAAAGAAATTCTCGTGCAGCGAGGAACTGCCACCACGGGTCACCAGGACGCTGCCACATTTAGGGCAGCCAGGGCCTGTATGTTCCTTCATTTCCGAAGGTTTCATGGCCCTAGCTTTCGCAGAATTCCTGATTTTGGAGCTGAGGGATTCTATGCTTGAAGATGGGAATTAGCTGTTAATTGAATGCGCGAGTGGTGATCAAGTCAGTCAAATCCAGAGCACTGGCTTTTATGAGAGTATAGAAAACATTGGGGAGTCTTGAGAACATCGTGGGCTTTACTGTTCCTCTTACAAAGCCCTCACCTAATTTGAAGCACAGGAGTTGAGGTTCTGGAGCTGGTACTTGGACAGTCACGCTGACTTAGCCAGTAATTAGACCTATAAGCTCTTAGTACTAAGCCATACAGTAAACCATTTTTCCCAGATATTTAGCTACTTTCGGGAAAGCAGGCTCCGGAGCCGCAGACGGTTGCCGAGACAAAGGCGGAGACCCCCAAACTTCGCGAGAAGGACACTGGTCTGCAGGTAGCTCACTCGGGGTATGGGAGCACCTTCTTTTTTACTGCGTGCAAGACTGTTGTACAAGGGCCAGGGGCAACGGAATGCGACAACCCAAACGGGGTATTTCGCTACGAGCTTCTCTGGGTACTGGTTTTCGGCTCCTTGGTGTTTCGCTCGTCATCCAGGAACGAGAATGCCAGGCCTCTCACTTGCCCAAGACGTGAAGCATCTTCAGCTGGATTGCTAGCAAGCTGAAGCTACGGAACCCTTGCGTCACATCGCGGCAGCATAGCTGCAACCTACTCCGCCCCACTCACCGAGTCCAGGATCCTCGAAACATTTGCAGCTAGACAGGCTTTGTACTTGTAGGAATGCATCCATCCTGCTCGATTTCCAGCACATGCTCAAGCAATGACGAAAGCATGTCTGAGGATGCCCGCCCTCCTCCAGACATTTGGGATGACCGGGTCTGGGGAAAGTACCAGGAGTGAGCGAGGCAGGGGAGTCCTTTCCTCCTACAAGTCAGAGAAAATCGACATCTGCTGATGAGCACGTGCTGATGGCGCAGCCTGCGGGGTGAAACCAAGACCCCCAAAGACAGGTCCAATAGCTCAGCAGGAGCCCAAAGGTGTGAGGAATGTTTGAATAGATGAGGCCTTTGGGCCCATCCCTCTTAGATATGCACTTCTCCAGTCCAATGGTTTGCCGGAAGGAAAGCTTCAAGAAACTTGTTTGCAAAGCCGTGTTGGCTTGTCTGTTTGTTGTTCCTTTCCGGTTCAGGCTGGACGGAAGAATTTGAGAAAAGCCATGCTGAAGCCGCAGGGTGTTGTTACTGTCATTTGGGAGAGTATACTGTATACTTATACTCTTCAAGCAGTCATTCCCCTATCCATCCCTATCCCTTTCAACAGACTGGTGCTCGACAAAGCCCTCGGCGGAGTGCCAAAGTCGTAGGGAGTTCGTTCACAGCAACTCCGGAATTGGTACTTGAACGCGCAACGAGACATGCTGTGGCGAAGTCCCTAGCACCTGCAAGTCCTTATGTCCTTGATGTTTATCTACCTTTAGATGCTTCTTTAGCTGCATCATCAACACCTAGCCCCCATATGTTTGGCGCGTTTTCTCCTCAAGTCTGCTTGCAATAGCTGTGTCTGACAGACACTTTTGCTCTGCATGGCGCTTTAAGCGCCTTGCACGCCAACGTTGACGCAGACTAGGAGGACATGATCAGTCCAGACTACGAGTGTCTGAGCCAAGCCAGACACTGTGGTCAACATGGATCGTGGCGCGGCAAACACTTTTCCGTATCTTGAGTGGCTTCCGCTCAATGGATATCAGCTAGCTTGAAAACTGAGAGTCTCCGATCGTGGTCTAAGGCCCATCATCGGCTTTCTTCTCATAGGCTTGATCTTGGGCCCTGCTGGTGCTGATGTGATCCGCCATATTGCAAGGGTCTCAGGTTGCCAGGTCACTGTGTTGGATTCATAAGTGGTTTTGATCCTGTCAGGAGGTGAGCCACCGCATCGCCGACTTCGGCATCATTTTCTTCTTGTTTGAGCAAATACCTTACGTCGCCATTCAGCAAGGGAAGCACTGTTGCAGAATGCTGCAGGACCGGGCTAGAGCTGTCGGTCAAGAAGGTCGTCTCCATGCGCGGGGATGCTGCGTACTGAGATGTGTTGAGACTTGCACAAAGGGACCTCCCCAATCCTCGCAGTATGCGAATGTAGGGGTACAGCCGAAGGTCTTTGGCCTCGGCATGGCCCAGTTTCTGATTACTGGCGCCGTGCTTGCCTTTCTTTCGCCCAGAGCTCAGCAGAGCTCAGTGGCCAGCTTCGGGCAAGCTGTTCACTTGGCTGCTATACCTTGGGCACATTTAAAGTCTTACCTCCAGCTCTCGCAGCTTTGAGAGGCCTCTCATCACTTCCGAGTTGTCCACGGGTGCCTCCATGCTGATGGGGGGTGGCCTCGCACTCTCCTCTTCGGTCATGCTCCCGGCGTTTCCTGCACGGTTCCAGGAGCATTTCTAAACCATCTGGACCATGTCTGCTGAAACCCTGCTGTGCAGGTAGGGCCAAAGGGCCTTGGAGTTCAGATGCGGGATGTGTAGCTTTCAAGGCCTTCGCTCTTCAACTACTGCGTGACAAGCGCCAGCTGGGCACTCGCTTCGGAAGAGCGCATGGGGCTTGGATGGCATAGAGAATCATAGAGATTTACATTTTGCTCTTTTTGTTTGCTCTGCCCTGACCGCATGCGTGAGGTCGCTGGGCGTGCTGTTGTTTCAGGACCTCGCGGTGAGATCCTCAGCGGCTAACAAGGAGAGCACTTATGTTGTTGGAGTTTGAACATGCCAGCCTGAACTTTCAAGGTCGTGCCGATGCTGGTGCTAGCGCCCTTGCTGGCTGACCCTGGCGGAGCTTCACTGCCGGTGCGCTTGCTTGAAAAAGCTTCCAGGCGTGATCGTGAGTTGCTGACCAAGTCAGAGTTCGCAGGTGGCTATTGCCGAGTCTTTCGGCAAGGTGGAGCGAGTGCATAATTCCAAAGCCCTGGATGCCTTGAATGATGGGAAGTCTTGGCAATCTTCTTGCGATGCATGCATACGCAGGCCGTGCTGGCGCTTGGCATCGTCGTAACAACTGGCCAGTGCTGCACCCGGTAAGGAGCAGCAACGCAGCAGCAAGCACGCTTGTATGAGTCATTGCACCGGCAAAGAAGGCAGGGATGCTCTGCAACTGAATGATAAAGGATGGGGAGAGTTCAGCTCGAGAGTGGGGACAGCTGAAGCAGAATCGAGCAGCATATTCGCGAAACTGACGCAAGAAACTGCAAAAGGAAAGCGCCCTCCAATTTGTGCAAAGATGATCCTCTTGTGCACCACCAATCACGCAAGGATCAACATCATTTTAGTTGTGAACCGGTATGAGCACCATGTCTCGGTGTCCGACCCAGAACCAGCATGCCAAAGAAGACCAGAGTGAAGAGGCCTAGAGAAAAGCATCGAGGGGAGGCCGGGGCAGACAGGTGTGTCTTTGCATATCCTTGTGAGCTGAGAGGAAAAGAACCAGGACGAGAAAGAGACGAGGAAGAAACCGAACTGCTGTGATTTCTGGTGGGTTCAAGTCCAGACATACCGGAAACCCAGATGCTTTCCATCTTTGCTTTTTGGATGGGGGGGCCTTGGGGGGCGCTGGGGGGGGGGAGGGTGGTTGTTCAGCTGCTCCATTCTACAGGAGTTGTGTTATTTGAGGAGGCCCAAGCAAGCCAGCGAGCGAGCAGCGAATGAGCGGTGAGGAAGCGAACAGAGCAAACACCAGAGCCAAAGCCTTCCAAAAACATCTTTGCCCTAATGCCCTGCACCCTAAACCCTAAAAACTTTAATCCCGAAAAGGCCGACCACGAAGCTTCAAAAGTCCGAACCCCACAGCCCTGAAGCCACGCGATGCATGTGCAAGCATGGAGGACCCTGAGGTCCAAGTTTTAGCACCAAGTCTGAATGCTGGAACCCTCTGAAGCCATAGTCATGGGAATGTCAACTACCCTTTCCTACTACCCTTTCCACCCCGGGGTGTCCCTGAAGGATCGAGAGATCCTTGACATCCTATATGCCAAGCCCTAAAGCAAAAACAAAACCCAAATGCCAACGCGCTAAACAATGAGCCAAGTGGCAAAGCCCAGAACCTTCACCTTAAATCCTAAACCCTGATCCCCCGTGCCTGCTGAGTCCGATGCGCGTGCCTTACACCACAAATTTAAGCTGCCGAACTTCTAATACTAAACTGCAGGAACTCTTAGCTTTTGAGGGTCCCAGTTTTGAATTGCTCTGGAGCACTGAGTTTCTTTCTTCGACCACTCCTGGCGTTTGTGAAGCGCTCGGACTCTTCAGAGGCAGCTCTGGGTGGCTGCGCCGTGCCGTGCATGTTCAGCTTGGCTGAGCAAAAAAGCAAGAAGCATGTTTGCAGGCCTTCTTGGCTGTAACGTTGGGGACCGTGCTGCTGTCTTCCAGTCTCACGCAGGCCGGTTATGCATGGATCCACCAAAGCTGAGTTTTGCTCGGCTTGCAGGCCTTCGGGCTGTCAGAGACGCTTGGCGCCTTCGTCGGTGGCGTCCTGGTCGCAGAAACCGATTACAAGCACCAGATTGAGGCCAGTGGGTTTGCTGAGCCCAAGCGGCCCAAGTGCATGGAAGACTCGCTGCTCATCCACGTTGTCTGCAGCATGTCGGCTCCATTAGCATGGCCCGGAGAGCGCCAAAGGACAGGCTGTATGAAGCTGGGTTGGAACATAACACCTCCAGCCCAAGATGTTCTTTTGCACTGTAAGCAGCAGCAGCTAAGGAAATTCTTGCACAGCAGCGCTATTTGGACTCCGGGCATCATGCGTTGAATGAATATGCCCGCAGCTGAAGTTCAGATCATACCAAGTCAGTGTGTGAGCTTGGCTAGTTATGCTAGGGGCTTGTACCTATGTCATCCCTCGAAGACAATGAAGGAAAGCAAGCATCTACGCCTACTGAAGTTCTTCATCTGCTTCCGTATGACCCAAGGTGAGGCAGATTCGTCATGCGCTTGACGACCCCTCGGCTGGAGATGCTGATGATTTACTGGATCGCTTGGAGCAGGCGATTTCGTTCTTCTCGATTGCTTGGGGAAGTGATGTATGCTTCGTGAGGAGGTCAAGGCGGAGGAAGAGACCTTAGCTCGAGCCTTTAACCTCTTCGACAACCAGAGGAAGAATGCTTTAGAGTGGCCAGGGCTGCACGCAGTCTTGGGATGACGAAGCCCATGCTTTTTGCCTTTTCCTGAGGAAGCGCGATCTAAAGAGCATGAACCGTGCCATGGCCGCAGAATTCTTGTGTTGATCTTGAGGCAGGGCCTGCCAGGTTGACTTCTTTTGCAGACGTGTGGCAAGGCTATCTGGGATTTCCTTCAGATGACAGAGACATCGACCGGCTGCTGAAGATGATCGACACGGACACATGCAGTAGACGTAGAGGGACCAAGGGAGGTGGTAGTAGATTTGGAATGGTGCAGGGAGGTCCCAGAAGACGAGATGACCACAACATACCACAACCACAAAAAACTAAACCTCAAGGGGACATCGAGGCACACTATCTGCACAAGCCGCAGACGGTTCTTGTAGGAAAGTTGACCGATAGCTCAACAACCTGTTGCAGAGGTGTTGAACCATAAGATGCATGTAGACATCACATTTGTGTCTTTCAGAAAAGGTCTTGCTTGAGACAACACAGCCGAACCTATCCTAAAAGGAAAGATTGCTGGACCGTTTTCAAGCTTCGTCCACAGAAAATTGGCTTGCAGGCATGATGTCTCAACGATGGGAATGAAAACGACAGAAAAGAAAGAAAGGATACTGGGAGAGCCAGATCACTTTATCGAGAAAGGAGCTGAGAGACTGTGGGTTGATTTGTTCTTTCGTTCGAGGGGGTTGAGACTTCCCATCCCATGGGAGACACGGTGTGAGGATGGAAGCGGGAAGATCTCCTTTGATGAGTTTGAGGAGTATGCTTCCAAGCGGAATTCCTGAACGTTCAACATTTATATGTGCTTCTCTCGTGTGCCACTACTCGATTTCAATTTATGCTTTGCGATAGGATCTTGTTTCCTGTCGGCAGTGGCGGGCTGGGGGGATGACTATTTCACATCTGAGGTGGGCAAGATGGGAGGAAGCGCAAAGCTGTTTGAGGAGCGGCAGAAGCGCATCAAAGAAAAGTGGCTCGAGGAATTCTTTAGGAGTGCAAGACCTGCAATATGAAGAAATCTCTTCTTGCAGTTGTTGAATAGAAAAGCGGAATGCTGAGGCTGGGCTATGACCTGCGTGAGAGTGCAGATACGGAGGCAATCTCGGCCCAACTGACCTCAGCAGGCAAGATGATCTTCGACACTGCATTGGCGGGATGTTTTTGAATCCTAGCAATTGGCAGCCCATGCTGCAGGCATTGGCAGGGAAGCTCAAGCTTACTGGAAGATGGTGGTGTCTCTTTGCTTCGAAATTTGATGCCCTGCACTATCCCATGTAGTGGGGCCCCTGATTGTTGTCCTATTTCTTTGCATGATTACATTTTCTTTTGCCGTTTGAAGACGGCTGATGTTTGGGTCATCCGGTTTGGGGATGCATTTGAGGCAGCCATCGGAATTCCAGGAGGCTTGCTTCACTTAATGTTTCTGATCGTGCTTGTCTTCTGCCAAGACTTCACCACTGGCAGGCTGCTAAACTGCATGACTGTCAGTGCAAAGCCATTAAGCATATCCGGGCTCTTGCGAAGAAGCCGCTCGGTCGATTGAGATATGCCAGTTGTTGGGCTCAGCAATGGCAGGGACATGTTTTAACAGCATGTGGCATCAAGTTTATGTGTTTTCTCGTTGGGCTGTGGCTTTGCAGAGAGCTTCCATCCGCTTTGTTGGCCTCAGGAACCATCAAGAGGCGCTGCCAGAACTCCAGAAGCGAGTCGCCAGCCCCTTCGCAGGAGTAAAGCTCCAGGTGAGACTCTGTTCGCGTGCAGCTTGCAAGGCCTTCGTTTCCAGGAAGACGATCTCTGGCTTACCTTGGCGTGGATCCGTGAGCTGGCCCCGGTTGCCTGGTCAGCTTTTTTCATGACTGCTCTTTGTGCTTTTAGCAGTGACTGGACAGGGTACATCCACAAGGTGATCATTCACATCGACCTAGACAAAATGCTTAAGTTCATGGAGAAGGCCTGCACACATGTAAAAAGCAACGGCCAGTCTTCGTGTCCACGCTCCGCACCGTAACCATGCGGCATGCGTGAGTCTGGGTGACCGGGAGGACACGCATTATCGAAATCAGTTCGAGACGAACACATCTGGAGGTCTGTTGAAACCGGCTACAAGAGAAAAGTGGGAGAGGGACTTGTTCGGTGGTTCGTACGAGACTTGGACCGCCTTCAAGCCCTAAGCCCTGTGTGTAGCCGGAACTGGAAATGTGCAAGCAGATCTCACTCGTCTGTGGTCTGCTAATTTGGTAAAAATGCTTGTTTGCCTGGCATTGAAGCCGAAATCTGGCCAGGACGGAAGTGCCGGCAAGGAGCGTCCCAAATATGGAGTCCAGAATGTCATGAACGATTTCCGTGGAGTAATCAGATGTGCGCAGTATGGCGATTCATACCTTATCCTCAAGGACGTACGTCTCAGGTGCACGTTTTCCCCGGAGGATTCTGCCAATCTGAAAGCAGACAAACTGGCAGTTCTAGACTTCTATGCTCACGTTCTTCTGCAGTACGACACCACAGAGCTTTCTGAAACCATCAAAGTGGCTACGTCAAAAGATGCAGCTCTTTTGGGGGATTCGGACAAGGTGGGCAAGATGAAATACAAGGAAGCCCAGATCCATGGTGAGGTGGACTTGCGTAGACACGTAGAAAGGCTGGTGGCACATACGCGTCATCGTGGGACCAGCGACGGCGCTCGGATCCAAGCTATGTGCAAGAAGCATGGCTTCCAATTCTCCTGGATGGACGAAGAGCGTGACCGGATGCGTAAAGAAAGCATCGGACAGCTGGGTGGCGAGGCTTGGCAGAAGCGATTACAACAGCTTCAAGAGGATGGCGGCGAGCTCGAGGTGCCCGAAGGCTATTGTAGAGTAGGCTGTGGGCGCCGCGTGGCTCCTGGTGTCACTCGTGCCGGTCGACCCTTCACTACCTGCTGCCGTGGCTGCGTTATGGGCTTTGGGCACGACATGCGCTGTGGCAACATCGATGCCTCCAAGGTGGGCCCAGGAAAATGCAAGAACGGCTGCGGCCTGAAGGTTGCGCCAGGCTTGGACTCTAAAGGGAGGCCCCTAACAACCTGTTGCAAGGGCTGTGCACTTGGAATGGCCCATGACCGCTTCTGCCAGAAGTCCGGTGGCTACATGCTGGAGCCTGGAATGTGCAAAATCGGGTGTGGTCGAAAAGTGGCGCCTGGAACGACACGGAGCGGAAATCCCTACGACACTTGTTGTCGTGACTGCAGCAAATCGGGAGGCGCCACCCATTCGTCTTTTTGTGCCGCTTAGTGAACGGCAGACTTGCATCGGTGCAAGCTTGATACGATGTCAGCCGCTTTCAGGAACAGGGGTCGCGTTTCACTCTCGAAGCTCCGTCAAACAACATTTGAGCCTCTGCACCCTGCGGTTCCTGCCTGTGCAGAATTTGAGCAGGAGTGTTGAGGCACAGGTGTGATCGTTTTGGCATGTTTTGGCTTTCTGCTACTTTTTTCTGTCAGTAGCATATAGGTATGTGCAATTTCCAGAGATTTCCAGATGGTGTTCTCCAGAAACTTGACGTTCTTTCTCGTGATCAGCGTGTGGTTGTCACGACAGGCAGACATCGCGCCTTTCCGTGGCATGCTTCTTGGCCTGTTCTTTGCCGGAGCCCCAGGGGGTCAGCCAGAATGGCTGAAGCCTCCAGTGCAAGAAAAGTTGAATCTGAAAGGTCACTGTCGGGTTCTCTTTTGACCTTTCGGTTTTGGCAGCTGCCCTAGAATCTTGCTGCGTAATAATTTTTGGAAAAGAGGTTTGGCATGCCTTCGAAAAAATCTGAGGCTCACAACTGGCTGATCGTCTTGCCACTCCTGATGGCTGTGCTCGTGCTGAAGGTTTGCGCACGTTTGCACGTGTTTGCACCTTGCAGTTTTGTGGGGTCGAGGGTCGAATGCCGTCTGGCCTTGTCTTAAAGCGTTTCTTTGGGCCAGGCCTCGGTGGTGATCCTGCTGGGCCTTTGGCATGGCCTCTCTGATGCCTCTTCCCTGCAGGTGGGTTTGACCTCAGGGTGTGTTGTACGGTGTGTTGTCGTGTGCTAGCAGGCCTCTGCATTGCTGGCTCCCGGAGGGGAGTTTGCTTTGGTGCTCTTCCGCCTTGCTGAGCATGTCGCATACTTAGTCGCAGCATCGCTTTCGTTGCGGCCTTGCCACTGTGAACCCAGGTGGGAATCATGTCATCCAACTTTGTCGCTCGGAAGCAGCTGGAACATGAGAAATGAGACAAAAGAAGTCTGTCCGTCCTGCGTCCAGGCAACGATTCTGGTCGCGTGCTGAGTTGGCAAGATGAAGTGCGCCGCATGTCTCCACACCCGCGTCTTCCAGGTAACCACTTCGGTGATCTCTATGGCACTTACGCCTTTGTTGGCAGCGGGTGCGGATTCGGTGGCTCGAAGGCGACAACCTTGCCCCCTAGTTTTGGGAAAGCGCTTGCACGTTATAAAAGAACCTCGTATGGACATATTGGAAACGCAACGTTTAAACACACGGTGGCAAAAAGGTAGAAAAAGGTACCTGGAAAAGGTGAAGGTAGACACCGGGTAAGTGGAAAAGGTGACAAAAAGGCGGAGCAAAGGTAGAACAAGGTAGAAGAAACGTGAAAGGTGGAACGGGTAGGAAAAATGCATAAACAAGGATAGAACGAAATGTAGAAAAAACAAAAACACATAACAAGGGCAGAAAAGGAACTTCCACCCTATTCCACCTTCGTCTACCTTTACCCTGCCTGTCCTATGTTTTGTTTGACCTCGCCCTCGCTCTCTGTCCAATGAGTTTTTTTCAGCTGCTTGTACTGACATTCTTACCTTGTTCACTTGCAGGATCCGTCAGGGGAGAGGCGTGCGAAACCTGGAGGGGCGGCACGCTTAGAGCCCATTCAATTACAGGATGCTTCATGCTGCCTGGACATGACAACCCACCCTGCAAACCTTTGCAGTCAGAAACCTCTCAGACGTCCCTTCCAATGGGCCACGCAAGTGGCAACAATCTCCCTGACACAATCGCAGCCCAAGGCAAGATCAGCGAGCTGCTGCTGACGTGCAGGAAATCACTAAGGGGGGAGACGGCTTCGTCGCCATATGTGGCCAGGGGCTAAGTACGTTCTGTAGTTGACAGTGTCATGTATCAGCATGACATTCTGGATTGAATTGGGTTACATGACTCAGGTTACAACATGATTGGGCGTACAGTGTGCAACTTGCTGGATCAGGAGGGTGAGGCCGAATGTTGCATCTCAGCGAGAAGATGGGCACCTGGACTAGGGGTTTAGTTGGAGGATGTTGGAGGGGTGAGGTTTCTCGGATTCAGGAAGCAAAGCCTTCTGCACCCTCACGCGTGGGATGATGTTGGTGACCTGCCCGGCAGCCAGGCGCAATACATTGTGTTCGAGGATGATGCCGCTGTTGCAACAGAGGTTGGAACTTAACCGGGCAGTCCTCAGCTGCTGCATTTTGAAAGCCTTGCTGACATGAAAACCCGAACGTTGTAGCCAGTTATGTTTTAGCATTGTTGCAGAATGTGCGAGAGAATCTCAACAAGTCCAGATCCGTTTCAAGATGGTGCAGACACTTGCCCTGCCTGATCGTTACTGAAATTGAGGTGTTCCTGCTCCCAGTGATGACGCTCCACTAGAGGTTTTTGCTGCCGTGCTCTGGGCCCAAACTCCATGGATGGAAGCATGGTTGACTCGACATCGGAACGTACGTGGAGTACCCGCAGACAGACTACTCAACTGCATGCATGCAGCAATTTAGCCTCCTATATAGCTTGGCAGGGCTCATGCATGCTCCCGCGGCTCTACCTTGTCGGCCGTCAGGACTGACATCGGAGCCGGGTGCAGGAAATGCAAACCAGCAGATCATAAAGAATGCATGCAGTGTTGGAGCTACTTGCCAAGCGTCTTGCGGGTGGTTCAAGGTCAGCATGCAAGCCCAAAGAGGTTGGCTTGCATGTCCCGGAGTAAGAAGGCGCAGTTTTCAATCCTCAATATCATAAATCGATAACAGATAGCAACATGGACTCCAGCAAGTTCTTGGCCTAAGCTTGACACATGCATGCATTATTTCAAGGTCTCAGCTAGGCCACCTCTCGGGAACTCATCCCCTTCATCCCCTTCGTGGAGATGGCCTGGTCATCAGCCGTGGTAGTGGCGGTGGTCGGACTGAGATGGGCAGCTGCGGCAGAGGCCTGCGAAGCAGGTTCAGGAGTTGCGGACCTGTGTTTCTTCTGCTTTCGCAGGTGCCTGCGCTACGCTGCAGAAATGAGAGGGGCCCAGAGCACCATTTCGAATTGCTAGTTCAAGTATTTGTCAAGCATTGTCAGGTCACACGGGCTCAATTCAATCCAGATTGCTTGCCACCACATGTACGAGACTATTCAGATGTAGGAACAGTGGGCGAGGACAGACAGCTCCGGTGACAGTTTTACCATGCAAAAGTGACGGTAGCTACAGGACCCGCCATATATTTACCTCCAGTGGATGCTGGCCGAGACATGTGGCATCCACATGGCGGAATTCAAGACGCAGTTCGCCACTCTTCCCCAGGTTTTATCACGAGGAGCCTAAAGTTGGATTGTCCTGCTTAACTGCTGGAAGCCTCACATGTAAAAGGGTGGTGCCCTGTACTTCCAGGAATGAAGAGCGTGTTCCTTAATTTTTTCGTCCAGGGCTCAACTGCATGAACGGCAGCATGCCAACATGTAGGCGCGATGCCTTTGTGCGTGGTGCTTCGTCCTTCAGGTCTACGTGATAGGAAACTTTTTGGCCGTCGGGGCTACCACCTCAGAACACAGCCATGTGCAGCCTTGTAGGAGTTGGTGCTTTCACAGGCCATGAGCATCTTCTATGTGGCACCTCCTGGACGCCGTTGTTGGGGACTATTCCGGGTTGGTTCGTTGGGCTACAAACGAATTATAGGTTTTGCCCTCAGCTTGGAAGCTTCCAGCTTATCGATCCCCAGGCGTGCCGGATAGTGACTACAAGAATGACCCCCTTACAGAGATTGTAACAGTCTGCACAGAATATTTGGCCACTGCGTGTACAGCTGTGTGGTAAACCATTTGTCGAGCAGCCAGCCTCGTTTGGATTTAATGCAACAGAATTACAAATTTGAATGTTTTGAATGGCGTCGGGAATGATGAGAATGTGGTTTGCAGTTCTGGCTCTAGCAAAAGGGTAGCCAGTTCCTGTGAGAAAGCTCAAGTCATGTAGTGACTTATGCAGTTGCCCGCGCCCCCGCTGCCTTCTAGTGATGATGTTTTGCTGGGTGATCTTCTGGGCCCCCCAGCTGCGCCAGTTCAAGATGATACTCTTCTGACCTCCTGCCTGGCTGGTCCAAGCCCTCCCAGACCACCACCCAGGGACGACGTGGCAGTACTTGACTCCGTCTTTGCACCTGCCAGTTATGGAAGCCAAGATGATGCTACAATCGCTGCTGCAATGCAAAGCCCCCCTCCGCCTCCCAGCCCGATCCCTCCACCACAGCCAACTCTGGACCACGCCCTTGCCACCATTCAGACGCTGCCGCCTGATCTCTTGGCTCCACGGATCCTTGCACCATCACTGCGACAGAGGCGACAGGATGAGTCCTCGCGCTACTTTCGAACCCGCAGCCATCCCACGCTCTCCGTGGTGCAGGAAGAAGCAGCGGAAATGGCCAAGACCGAGGACGACATGCTGTTGAAAGCTATCTTGGACGATGCTCTGGACCCTATTCCTGGGCAGTGGGCCGGTCCTTGCAGAACGTTACCGAGCGTAGTTGGACGACCACCGACGCCCCAACGACATCAAGAATCTCGGGACGACATCGCCTTGGCACGTATTCTGGAAACACCGCGGCAAAAGTCGGGTCCAAAAAGCGGTGCCTTGACCAGGTTGCTGCAAAGCATAGACAGAACTGGGCGAACGGCTTCTGACGATGATGCTTTGCTTAGTGCCCTGGGCTGGTCGTCCGCGCGGACGTCTTCCCGAGCTCGCCGTGATGACCTGAATCATGTGCTCGGGTCGCTGACTCCTTCAGCCAAGGACGATGTGGCTCTTGCCCAGGCGTTGGGGCAACCTCCTCTCAAGCGGTCCATTTTGCTGTCTGTTGTGGAGCATGTGATTAGCCAAAGGATGGCGGAGACTAAGGCAATCAGAGCCGAGCTGTATGCTGGAGGTCGAGGACGTGGTGCACGCCTAGATCAGCTGTGTCGGCCCGTGGGCTTGACACTGGCAAGGGACGGATCTGTGTTTGTAGCCGACTGTGGCAACTGCCGCGTGCTGAAGTTCTCGGGGCCTGCAACTGTGTCTGCAGCCCTGGGCAGCCCGAGCACTCACGGATGGTTCAACCCTATTGACGTGACATACTCGGAAGCTGGTGTCGGAGCTCTTTTAGTGACTGCTGCTAATGGCGTGCACCTCGGATCCTTCGAGGAGCAAAGCCTTACACTGGTTGCAGAGGGCTGTCTCCCCTCAGGTCTTACCCTGCAGCGAGAGGGCTCCCTACTCTTTGCAGATGCCTATGACCACTGTGTTGTCCAGTGTGTTTGGAGAGGCGGAGCTGTTCGCAAGATTGTGGCAGGTGCAGCTTCTGGGCAGGCTGCGGTCGGTCAGGATCTGGGACGACTTCACAGGCCCTTTGGCATTGCGACCTCGCCGGATGGCGCCATCTTCATTGCTGACAGTGGAAACCACCGGATCGTGAGATGGATGCCTGGAGCTCGCGCGGGAGATCTTGTTGCAGGTGGCCACGGCCGAGGGAGCGGACTCCACCAACTTAATTACCCGAGAGGTCTCGTCTTAGATTTCAATGGGGATATCCTGGTGGCGGACACCTTTAACCATCGAATTGTCCGTTGGAGATTGGGCGCGAGCAGAGGTGAGCCGGTGTTTGGAAGCCGCCACCATGGGCCGCAGCTTGACCAACTGAATCGGCCGGCAGCCCTGGCGCTCTTGCAATCGACCAGGCAGCTTCTCATCGCAGATTCCGGCAACCACAGAATCCTCAGTTTGAACTTGTGACGCGCTTGGTGTGAGATGCTCCTGGTGCGTTCGTGTACATTACATGGTTTCACTCATCGGTGATTCAAGCAGAGCAGGCGTTGCTGGCAAAAGCGGACCGGCGAGAGATCTGCCAACAATATTCCAGAGCTTCTGCCTTCTTGTCCCGCCGAGGACCGTTGTATTACATTCTGCTGGTACTGGCCGTGTGGATTGCTGTCCCTCAGCCCGGTAACTTACACACAAAGCATATATTTACTTAACAGAAGCTCAGGTGGGACTGACCTATCGCTTCTTCACCGAGCTTCACGTCAGCAGTATTGAGCTGACAGAGTAGCTTGGGCTCGTGCTTCGCGCTCACATGTCCGTGCTCTTTCTGATTTGTGAAGGTTTTTTTTGACAGTCCATGCTGCAAAGATCATGGCGCGATTTCTGTAATGTTGAGTATTCATACGTTACACCTGCGCAAGGTCACAAAAACAGAATCGCGCTATTTTTGTTGAGCTGGGGATGGCAGGTTGGGATGTGGAAACTTGTAGGCTCTCAGACTGGAAAGTTTAAAGCCTCAGTCTGAATGATTAACTTTCGATTGCTATTAAGTTTGCCGTATGGATGTGGGTGCTCAGGGTCTCTGAAGAAATTGTGAGGCTTTTTTGAAGGTAAGCCCGGTACAGGTGGCAGTCGGCCCTGGCAGCGGGCTGAGGTCTCAGCTAGTTTGGTGGCACTAATTAGGAATCGCAGGCGCTCAGGCTCCCATCGCCAAGCCAAGAATACGCCTGGCAGCACAGGTGGTGATAAGCACAAGTCATCCCAACTCACTGCTTCAAATCCGTCTCAGGCTTCATGCCTTCCGAAAGCTTGTCTCGCAGCAGCTGGATGAGGAAGGCCTGAACGGCCGCGACTCTCGAGGGCAGCAGATGGAAAACAAACAACATAAATTACGATTTGTCCTTCAGGCACCTGGCCAGTGGAGGGTGGCGGGAGCGTGAAGCTGCCTCGTCCAAGCGTTGCTTGCGCTTATGTCTTCGAGCTGCGCTGGGTGACATACCGCCACTGTCTCTTGACAATCTCCAGCACTCCAAGATAGGCCGTCGTGTTGTCTTATGTAATTCGTTCACGAACCTACCATTACCAATGACCAAGGCTTTGATATCTTGGTACTTATGACTTTCACCAGTGTGGACCTTCTCGTCTGCCTACTCGAGCCACTCAGATTTGCCGGGAGTATCGCAGAGTTGAGAACTAGTCACAGCTGGTCATCGTCTCAAGATCTGAATGGTCTTCGCAAGGCTTTCTTGGACTTGCCTCACCGCCTGCTTTGCATACTGCAGATGCTGTTGCTGTCGCTGGGCAGCAAAGAGTAAGCATGCTTGCTCGAGCTTGGTGCGCTCGGACCAGCCAGGTTTCTTGTGCAAGGGCTGCTGCAACATTTGTGCCTGGATGGCTTGCAACTGTGTGGCGGCCATATGCTGCTTGATACCGGTTGGGGCGCTCTTCGTCTATATCGTGTCTGGCTTAGTAGGCGGGGCTGGAAAGGGTCCTGCTGCTCAGTACGATCTGGTTGCAGGTTGCTGTGCCAAAAAAGATTGCCTGCTGCTCAGGGGCAACCATTGTCTGCACAGTGCTACTGGCAATGGCCAGCGCTGTGCTCGTCAGCGTGTCGCTGTGCCTCCGCTATGTGCTGGCTGCTCTTACGGGCTGCTTCTGCAAGCCGCTGCCGCCAGCGTCCTGGACAGATCAGGCGATGCTGCTCCATCCGCTCCCACCAGGCCGATGTCCTATCATGCGGTCTAGCATTAGCAGTAATTGGCATGACCTTGGATGCTAGGATCTCCTTATTTCACAACCGCCATGGTTGTGCGCGAGCCCATCAATGACGAGGAGAGGGAAAGTGACTTGAGGCTCGTGGAGGCCACGCCCTTTGCAAGCAAGTTCGACGTGGAGGAGGCCCCTGCCTTGAGGAACTAGCAATGAGTGTCAAGGGGACCACTTGTCTGGGAAGCGGCAAGCGGCCAAGCAAACAAGAAGTTTGGGAATGAGAGAATCCGCAGCTTCATTGGTGTGTGAAAACCATGCAAGGTAAACTGAGGCAATATGTTCCTGTGGATGCCGCTGCGAGTAGTTTTCTGGGGGCGCGAATGTGGACCGGAGCTTGCTTTGGCTGTGGATTTGGGGCGTAGGGGAGGAAACAGTTTCTTGCAAGTTGCTGTGTTGGAGAGCATGCACGGAGTCTCGCTATAACGTGCCCTGAGCACTTGTTTCAGCTTTTCCGAATGCTCTGCAGACGGGCTACCATCCTACATTTTGGTGCCCAGGGGTCCACCGGGTGATTAAAAACCGCTGCAATTATGTCCACGAGCGTTCGCAAAGCCTTTGCGAGTGTCGCGCCGCGGCCTACCCTCGTTTTTTTAGGGCCGCCATCCTCGTGGCTGTTCTTGCTTCTGGGCCCTCATGTCTTTGTTGCGTGTCAAAGGCTGCTGGGGTTGCCATCCTCGTGTCTGTGATTGCCTTTGGACCCTCATGTCCGGAGTGGAAAGTGAAGGTGGCATGTAGAATGGAATGGAAGGTAGAAAGGAAAGTGGGTGCAGTGTCGAGAATGGAGAGTGGAGTGTGTGGAGCGTCGAAAGTGGAGTTGAGACTGTAGTGGAGTGTGGAGAGGGGGTTTGGAAGTGCAATGAAGATTGGAGTCAAGAGGCGGGAACAGAGCGTGGAGCGTGACGTGTGGAAACAAGTGATGGAAATTGACGGAGTCGGCTTTGGAGAACGGAGGAGTGTGGAGAGCAGAGCGGCGTAGAGTCGAGAGGGAAGAGGAAAGGGGGGTGGAAAGTTTCACAGTGATGTGTGGAGAGAGGAGAGTTGAGAGTGGCGAGTGGACAGTTCAGTAAAGAATGGAGAGTAGAGATCGGAGCATCTTTGTCGTATCGAATTACGTGCCGCGTGTCTGCGTCCGGGTTCATGGATATCTGATAACTTTTAGGTTTTGTTCTGGCATATGGTCATTGATTAGATTAGATATGATTAGAGCCTTAGAGGGTTGAGCAAATTTATGGTACAAGCTCAGCGCCACCACAACATAGCCGTGTGAGGTTGCAAGTGCTTCGCCTGAATTGCTCAGTAGTGGCGAGACAACCTGGGCAAAGATCAGTGAGGGCGATGTTTGGAGTCTGGCCAAGAGCTTTGTGAGGCGTATATGACTTCGGATTACACTCTGTGGGAAAATCATTTGGGAATGCCATGGCATTCGTTGAACTATGCCTTCCCGGCATGGCTGCAGCCTCATCTTTCCTAGCTGTGTGCGTTGTGGAGGAGTTCTGTAGTATTCTGCCCTTGACTCGCCTCATTGCCTCCAGGTATGCAATGACCTTTATCCCTTCACTGCTGATGACCGCTGTGGCGCTGGCATTTCTTCGTAGCAACGAGATTCTTTTTGCAAAGTCCATGGCAGAGTCTGAGCAGGCCTCAGCCAGTCAGCCAAGCTGTCCTGGAAGCTCCAAAGCCTTTGCAAATTGACTACAAATCCAGAGTGCCTTGACCAAGGATTTGGCCTGGCTGCCTGTTGGCCCGATGTCAACATGGCCATACCACTGGGTTCTTCTGCAAGCTGTGTTTGAGGGCATCACGCATGGCTTCCATGGAATCTTCGTGGATGTGGCTGCTCTGAATTTGTTGGGACTGAAGAAATATGCGACTGAGCCTGCACTTTTTCCATGCTTGGGCTTGAGGTGCCTGTGTCTCTGGTCACTGAACCACGGATGGTGCTGCATCGGGTCTGGCACGTTGCGGAGCAAGGGGTGGAGATGACAAACCTGTTCAAAGCAGGCAAGGGCTTATGAGCAATCATGTCGAACAAGCCTTCAACCGCCTGTTACTTCTTTCTGCGGGCTTTGTTGGATGGTTGCATGCTTTGACATCCGGGATGGCATGAGCATGGGCCCCACGATTAGTCATTTGCAGATGCGACGTTGTAGGCTTTGTGAAGATGTGGGAGAGTTCTTGTGCTGTTGCCATGCTTGTGATGCGTTGTCTACGAAGTGTATCTGATCTTCTGATGCTTTCGGAGTAATGTGCAGCCTTGAGATGCCTAAGACCTTGGGATCTGAAGCACAACGGAGCGAGGGCAGCGAACAGCTTGAGGTTCATAGCTCTGGTTGGGTGTTGCTACAATTTGTGTTTTGTTCTGCTCTTAGCTTTGTGGAGTGCATGGCTGCTGAGACCGACAAAAGCTGACAGCGGAGCCCCTGCATGATGGACAGTTCGAGGGCAACTTTGACGACTTTGAGACCACCGTGTTACTTCTTCGATTCGTGTTGACAATGCTTTTCAGCTGCCTACGGCTGGCGGCCATCATTGCCCGAACACCGGATGACCCCGAGCCGGAGGACGAGGAGCAAGAGCAAGTGGAAGAAGAGGAGTACGAGGAGGACAGGAGGCTTGTTTTGACCCGTCACAGTTGAAAAAGCCGTTAATGGAGAATCTCCCAACTTGACGCTCCTGATAGCTGTTGATGTATACGGAACCATGGAAGTCAGCCACGAGTTAGCAGTCAGCAAATTTGGAGGAGTCCAGCGACAGTGATGGACACTGCGCTGCTTTCATGTCCAAGAAGTCGCATAGAACACTGAGATGAGTTATTGAGACCGACAATGTACAAAATGTCACAGGATACACGTGGGAGGCACTTGTCGTGATTCTGCCCAAAGCTTGGCAGCTCGGCACCTGCGGAAAAAGAGCGCTTCTGATTCTGTCATTCGTGGTGTTACATTTTAAATGATCACGTGCCACGTATGCTCCATGGCCGCGAGGAGCGCTCCATGTTCCATCCCAGTCCCAGCCGTTCCCGGTTTCCGGTGCCCGTTTCAGAAGGTCAGGGACTCTGAGTTCGCCATGCCTTGAGCGAGAGTCCATGGACAATGTGCACATGTTTTTCGAGGTTTAGATTGACACCGGCGCTGTGTTCCTTGACAGGTGCGTGGCTTGGAAAGCATGTCTCATGACATTAAACTGCCAATGTTGTCTGCGTGGCCTCTCAATGTCATGGTTGCAGGTTTTCCCTTGAGCTGTGTGTCTGGGATGTAAGGGGTTGGGGACGTCTGAGCTTGCGAATTGCCCAAGCCTGTGGCAACAGCAACTTTGATCTCCTTCCAATCCATTTGCGATTTCGTCCCCGTTAGTTCTCGGGCGGCGCGAACCTGATCCAGCTCCACCTAAATAGTCCCCTCGTGGTTGGTCCATGTGCAAAGCCAAGCCAGGCCAAGTGAGGTGATGGGGAAGTGCGCAAACTGCCAGTGCCAGAACCGCCATAACTAAGAGGTCACCGCGCGGGATGTCCAGAGCTTCCTTCAGAGCGCCTATCCTATCAGCAATACTTGCTGACGGTGCAGGTCTATAGATCACACCGCCAGGATCCTATGCATAGCGT